GCGATGCATGCGAGTTCCGTCCGGAAAGCCAGCGGAACCAGCGAAACCCTTCCCTAGATGATGCAACATGGTAGTCGTAGATTTCCCGCCATTCGTTCGTGACGTCATTTGCGTTCCGAAAGCTCCATTAATCAGACCCAACTCCGGTACGGTCGATGTCGTTCTGCTGCAGCTCCGAGGATCGCACTATCTCTGTAACATCTACTTCCGCTTGCTCGGGGTGGCGGCATCGGCATGACGGTGGTTGTCGGTGGTGGTCGGGCGGTTAAACTAGCAATGCTGAAACATGTCGTCACCGATTGCCCACAAGCGTTTGTTTCTTCCCGTTCGACATTGCTAGGAACTACCACTGTGTTGTAGATCCATTGAAAACGTACGCACACACGGATACACACATGGGAAAGGGTTGAGAGCCCTTGTCGAGCTTGTCATGTTCTCTACTCTGTGAGTGTGTGTGCTCCTAAAGTAGAGTAGCACTTGCTTGGGCAAACATAGATTGGCTTTTAAACTGTTGTCAATGATGGTCATGTTGGCAAATGTAAATAGTCAACGGATCAGAACCAGACAGCTGAGGTTGCTGTCCCGTTTGATGTGGATTACTAATCCGACGGGCTTGGAGAGTAATTACCGACAATCCTTTTCTTCCGGACTGTAATATTGCTTGGAAAACTAATTTTCGATCTAAGGCTCGGAGTGCCAAGCACCAACTAGCTCACTTTTCTTGAAGATTGCTGAACCGGTTCGAGTGCCACCGATTGCAGTTGGTTCGTATCTCGCTCCCACAGAACTCTGATCAATTTTATACCAATCGGACATTTGATTTCGGAGTTATCTAGTCTAGTGTAGTCTATACAAATACAGCCAACCATACTTGAATAAATCCTTGAAAAGTACGTTTCTCATTTGATTGCATATAGACATTGGTTTAATCAATTGACAATTACGTAAAATAGTTGGGAGTGACAGAGCTAAGAAAACTAATCCACACTCCACTTTGCCTGATCTCCTAGAATGGAACACAGGTACTTCGCCTAGGATATAGTGCTTTTACTTGATTTTTCTCTGAGAGTCGGGACGTAAGTACTAGCTCTAGGCTCATGGCTAATGCGCTTGCTTTCTCAAAAACAAAAACGAAAACAAAAAAAAACCTGTCTCATATCTATCCTATCAATACAAGAAATTGAAACCAGAGTTTGGAAGAAGTTCTACCGTAACTGCTCAGCACAAAAACAGTCGCAACTAGATCATCGAGCCCCTTTTAGATCACTATAACAAGTCCCCGATTTTTAGAAAATATTAAAAAAAAAATACAAGATCTTGAAATCTAATCATAAGATAATCAGATTATCAGATAATTCAGTAATCAGAAAATAAAATATTTTGAAAAAGATATCATAAAATCAGTAAATTCAAAAATCAGGAATAATCATATCAGATCATATTAGATAATCAGATCATATTAGATAATCAGAAAATAAGAAAATCAGAAAATCGGATAATCAGAAAATCAGACAATAGGAAAATCAGACAATCGAAAAATCAGGTAATCATAAAATCACATAACGAGAAATAAATCATCATAAAATTTGAAAACCAGAAAATGAAAAAATCTGATAAATTAAAAAAAAAAGACTCTCACTAATTCAGAAAAACAGAACATCAAAAGAATGGGTTATCTTGAAATCAGATCATTAGAAGATCTGAATATCAGAAAATCAGATAGCTATGTAATCAGAAAATAAAATAATAATAAATGTTAAAATCCTATCAAAATTAAATCGCAAAAACTGACAATCAGAAAATCTAACAATCTGATAATCAGAAAATCAGATAAACAGAATATTAGAAAATAAGAAAACCAGAATATCAGAATATCAAAACATAAAAATTCGAAAAAATCACACCAACATTTTTTTTAATCACAAAATCAGAAAATTATAAAAATACAAAATCAAAAAAAAAAAAATAAAAAAAAATCAGGAAATGAATCATAATTAAGCCATTAAATCTTAAATCTATTACATTTGAAAATAAGAATGTCTAAAATACAGAGCATAAAAAAAAAACTGATATCCGAAAATTAAAAAAAAAATCCAAATCACAAATTCATAAAATCAGATTGTCTTGACATCAGATCATTAGAAAATCAGAAAACCAAAAAACCAGATAAATTAAAAAATCGGAAAATAATAGAATTAGTAAATCATAAAAAAATAATAAAATCAGTGCAGTAGAAAATTTGACAATCAGATAATTAAGTGAATATGATTTAATTAAATTATGAAATCAAAATTCAGAATATCCATAACCAAAAAAATCTGCTTACCATAAAATCTTTAAATGAGATTGTTTTTTCCTTGATTTGTTTTCCGCCGATCTTGTTTTCCGTGCTGAGCACCAATGCTACCGACACCAGGGAGGCAGCTTCCACACCTGGACCCTACCTACTGACCCATCCACTCATGAACCGGGGCAACGGTTTTACTCCCTTCTGAAAGAAGGCGTGATCAGAGATGTGATGCCTCAGAACATCCCAGTGGCGCCGACTGGGATTGAATCCAGGCCTGCTGGGGTGAGTTTAAATGAGATGATTATTAAATCAGAAAAAAAAAAACTGATAATCAGAAAATCAGAAAAATTTGAGAATCACAAATTCTGATAATCAGAAAATCAAAAAAATAGAAAATCTTGAAATCAAATCATTAGAAAATTAAATAGTTAAGTGATGTGATGTGAATGGAACCCACCATCAGTGCAAGGATTACCAATGTCTGTAGATACTTTACCGGTTGTAAAGTTCTGCCTGATGGTTTGTTGCAGCAGGGTGAATCAACTTCATTGAAGACCTTTGGAAGACAAAACGACCAGATGGCCATCTGTAATCACGTGACAAGGGACTGGCAAAACCACGAACCCTCGTCCAGTCAACAAATCCTTTGATTCCCTTTGACTAACCCCCCCCCCCCCCTCCGAACCAAACCCAGTATATAATATAATGTTTTAATATATTTGAATTACAGTTATGTTCCACCACATGTTCAAAAATGTGCAGACATTTAGCGTTCAGAAATTAAAAATAGGAGAAAATGATACATTAATCATAAAATCCGAAAAATATCAAATCTGAAAATCTGAATATCATAAAATCAGAGAATTATTAATTTTAAAATAAGAAAATCAGAAGATCAGAAAATCAATAAATCTAATAATCATAAATTCAACAAAATCATAAACTAAGTTATTCTCAAAGTAAAAAAAAATAAAATTTAGAAAATCTTGAAATCAGATAATAAGAAAATCAGAACGTCAGAAAGTCAGATAATTAGGTAATAAGAAAATAAAATATTATGAAATTGATCGAATCATAAAAACATAAATTCATTAAATAATCAAAACTGATATTCTGGTTATCATAAAATCAGATCATCAGAACATCAGAAAATTAGATAATAAGAAACCAAAAATATGATAATCATAAAAAACATAGAATTATTAAATTGTAAATTCTGAAGGTCAGACAAATCTGATAATAAGCAAATCTTTAAATCAGGTCATTATAAAAAAAAAACAGGTAATTAAAAATGAAATTATAAAAAAATCATGAAATCATGAAATAAATTCATAAAATAATAAGATTTATAGAATTAGGAAGTCAGAAAACAAACATTAATAAAATCATAAAATTATAAAGTTATTAAATGGTCAAACTAGAAAATATGACAATTGGAAAATCCGTAAATCTGAAAATCAGAAAATATGAACATTTAAAAATCTGATAATCAGAAAAACAGAAAATCTGAAATCAAATTAATCTAAAAATCTGAAAATCATAAAATCATAAAACATGATAATAAGAAAATATGAAAATCGGAAAATCTGAACATCTGAAATCTGAAATTCAGATAATCAAAAAATCAGCTAATCATAAAATCAGAAAACTAGAAAATCAGAATCAAAAGCCGTTCTTAGCGCGGTCGATTGGGAGACTGGGTTTGATTGGAAAATGTCTCAACCTCCCTGGGCGTAGAGTATGATTGTACTTGCCACTCAATTATATTAATGCATAAATGGTACAAGCCTTCTAACTCTCAATTAAAACTGTGGAAGTGCATCTACAACACTAACTTGAGGGCCGGTGTAAAGTCACGGTAGCGACGTTATAAGTAGAAGTCATCGGTCGAATATCAAGCTTTACAACCTCAATATGTTGCTCATACACCTTGTGGGCCACTTACTTTAAAACACTGACCTGAAATAGCTTTAAATTTCTAAATCGGCTAGAATCCTCTCAAAACGACCTTGAAAATCCAAAATTACCATGATACCGACGCAATGACTTAAATCGCTAAAATAGTCTCTATGAGCTCTTAAATACAGTGCACTCTCTACAACTCTACATTGAAGGGACCATTGAGCCATAGAATTATCAAGCTGTAGAACAACCTGTGTAGGAAATCACCATCACAGTAGTCATACTGCATTTGGCCTACGCTTCTATAACTAGATATGGAGCTAGTGAAAATCTAGTTGTGGAGAATTTATTGTTTCATAGAATGGTAAAGAAGTCCTGCAACATGGTTTTTAAAACGCCAATATAACTGTTAAAGTGTCGTGATTAAGGGGAATCCACTAAGAACGTCACGCTCTAAGAGAGAAGGGAGAGGGTTTAGAGCCTGTGACATTCAATGCATTGCAAAACGTGACGAAAGAGAGGTTGTTTTCCTCAATTTAGCGTGACATATTTAATGGATCACCCCTTACTGGAAAATTTAACGGATTTTAGAAAAAAGTCCTAATCTGAATTCACTGAATGCTCAAAAATGTTTTGACAAGTTTGACTTTTTCGTGACTTACTGCATTATCTGACTGGATTTACAGAATTCTACAGAATCACCTCACGGGATCTACATAACCATCTGACTGGATCTACAGAACCACCTGTTGGACTTTTCCAGAATTGCTTGAGGCTCACTAATGGTCAATTCCCTTTCTTTTCACAGAGACTTCCGGCTGGTGCTGCGGGAGGATCCCTCTTCGGTGTTCGCCCCGAACATCCAGATCGACACCACCGAAGGTCCAGTCGATTTTGACCTTTCGCGGGTCTACACCGGCATCGTGGAAGGTAGGTCGCTCATTTGTTGGAATATCAGATAAAAATTGATGATTATGGCCAGGCGAAAAGCCCATCCTCCCAATCCGGAAAAGTGTTGTAATCCTTCATAAAGGATAAAGGATCCCGCTTGGAGACCCCTCCGAGCAGAAAATTAAATTAGTTTCCACCTGGCAGCCGACACGGTACTACTTCCAACTTATCTCGCCACATGGCTCGGGAGGGGGGGGGGGTGGCAGAGCGCTAGGATTTAACCATCTGGAATTTTGCATTTCTTCAGTCAACTCCCGAAAAGAACACGCGTAACAAAACTTTCCATCCAGCGGATTGCTAATTGCGAAACGCCTGTGCTCCATCGTTCTGCGTCCACGTCCAGCTCCTGGAGAGAGCTGAAACTTGTTGAAAAGCCATTTATTTTTCATTATGAATAAAATTACTTCCTTCACCCCAGTGTTTTTCCACCTGCCCGTGCGTCGTGTGTAGAGGAGCCACTTACCACCACAAAGCGCTTCACATGAACCGGCGGAGTGGAAGTGGCATATAGTTTTGTTTTCCTGTTTTTAGCCCGCTCCCGTCCGGTTCAGTCGAAAGTGGATCTACTCGGGGGGTTTTTTTTTCGACTATAGTGATGCAAGCATGGAAGCATTCTGAAGCACTCTTGGCTTTGGGTTGTGTTCGGTAGGAGGGAGAAGGGTATGGGGTGGTACTTGTCAAGACAAAATGAGTGGCTTGGTGGCTGCAGGTTGGAAAGTAGGGAATTTTCACTTCTCGTTGAAGGAGTTGGGTTGCATTTTGGGTAGAGCTGCAAAATTTGGACAGTGGATGCTCTTGAGTTTTTTTTTATGTTGTTAAATCTGATGACTAGATTTACAGAATATTCGATGAGCTTCACAGTGTTCTCTGATGAAATTCACAGGTTATATTGATGGGATTTACAACATCGTCGGATGGATTTTACTGAATCTCCCGAGAAGATTTATAAAACGTCTGAAGTGATTATCGGAATCACCTGACTGGATCTACAGAAGAATCGGACGGGATTTATAGAATTATCTGACGGTATTTCAAATGCCATCGACGTCAGGGAGGCAGCTCCTACACCTGGACCCTACTTATCGACCCATGAACCGGGGACCAACGGCTTTACTTCCCTACCCGAAGGAAGGCGTGATCAGAGATGTTATGCCTCAGAACATCCCGGGGGCGCCGACTGAGATTGAACCCAAGCCTGCTGGGGTGAGAGGTAATCACGCTTACCACTACACCACCGGCGCTACTACAGAATTAATTGACGTGATTTATTGAATAATCTGAGGGGATCCACAGAATCGCCGGTCAAGATTTACTGAATTACCTGACAGGATATTCAGAGCATTCTGCCTTAATCACCTGACGGGAATGGCAGAATCAACTGGTGGGATTTACAGCTTCCTCGGATGGAAGTAACAGAATCTCCTGAGAAGATCTGAATACGGAATCCTCTGACGTATTTGCATAATCACCTGACTAGATCTGTCCAATGATCTGACTGGATTTAGATAATCATCCAAAGGAGCTTTCAATTTATGCTGACTGGATCCACAGAACAACTCAACGTGAACTTCCTTTTTCTTAGGCCAAATTTGCTCATCCTTGACCAACCACGTTGGTCCGTGCCACCAACCCGTATCATTCCTTAGTTGAAGTGGTGTTGCTCCTCGAGAAAGAACGTCGGCTGGATTTTCACAGCCTGGTACGTGGCTCCAAGAACCGGTTCTGGTAAGGTATTGCACTTCGGCTACTCTGTTGGCTATGAATGTTTGCCAACGTGAGGGTGATGATGCTAACCAGTACTGGACAATTTCCGAATTTGTCCAGAAGAACGGCTGTGCGGACGTCAGTTTCACAGCCTTTGCAACCTTGTCGTAGAGATGAGCCAATAGCAAGGCGGAGGATAGTTCTAGACGAGGTATGGTCATCAATTTACGTTTCTTTCTCTGTTGGTCGAGCGGGGTAACTCTGGACTTAGAAGTTTGATGATGATGATGATGATGATGATGATGAAACTCGACCCATCGAGACACCGTCAGTTCGTCTAATTGCGCCAAGTCTTTCCGGAATTTTTGCCACTGGGATTGATCATTTTCGACGAGCGGTTCATCCCATGAAACCTTCTGCTTCCAGAGGTTCTGGACGAAGATTCGTACTGTTATAACGATCAGGCCAATCAGGCAAATCGGGTCAAAAATACGGGCTAAATCAGAAATCACAGATCGTTTACAAATTGCAGAGAGATTCCACGTTGGAACCTTGAATTTGAAATGGTCTGATCGTGGTTCCCGGATGAGTCCCAGGGTCTTGATTGTGGCGGTTGAATCATCCAACTCGAACAACGTACGGTCATCCTTGAATTCTGGTGGAATTTGCTGCAGGATCGCTGGACAATTAGTGCTCCATTTTCGAAGAGTAAAACCTCCTCCTTGAAGCAGGTGTTGGATATCATTACAGAGCTGGATGCCCTCTTCTATGGTATCGACTCCGGACATCATACTTATCATACTGGTATCATACAGACATCATACTGGTATCGACACATACTTACTTAAAATCCCGATGTAGACCTCCGTGTTGACCTTGTCGCCTTCTGGAATGAACACCGGGTCCATTTGTTTACCATCGGAAGCCACCAATCCAAACACCATAGCGCTAGCAGGATGCTTGGTCAGATACACGTTCTTGTGCTCGTCGGCCACGTCTTTTACCGGAAGAGAACTAATATACCTGTCGGTTCTGGAATTTGATACGGGATCGACGGTAAACATGCTCTCGTCGGTGAACAGGATTACCAGATTTTTTCGCTTAAGGAAGTTCAAGATTTTCTTGCATCGTTCGACTCGTAGCTCCCGGATGCAGTTGGTAATCATGTGAGTTTTTTTTCCGTGCCCTCGACTTCGGCCCGCAATCTTCCTTTACGATCTTCCGTGCCGTAAAATCACTGATCCCGTGTTCCTTTGCCATTTTCCTTATTGAACGCACTGGATTCACCCGAATCTTTCTTTTGATAGCAGCGATAACCTTCGGAACCCGAGCTGACCTCGGACAACCAGTGGCCACCTTCGCCGATAGTTGTCCTTTCTTTTCTCGGTCTAAAACCCTTTTGACGGTCCACCGGGACACTCCCACGGCGATTGAAATGTCTTTTTTGCGGCATTTGCGCGTGGGACGAATCACGAATACGCTGCCACTTTGTCATGGTGCAACTGTCAAGTAAATCATTTTCTTTTATACAAAGCCTACTACGGCATGAGCTATAGTGCATGCAAAGAAAACCAAGGCATTATATGCACAGGTGAAACGGGAACCTTATTTGTACCATGGTGCAAACATTATCACGCTACGGTACAGAGCTTAAAGATGCGTATTGGACCATCCTTGCTGCCTCTCCAAATGATCAAATGCAGGTTTTGATCTTCAGGGCACAATAAGACCATGCGATACATTTTTTTCAATGGCTGCAACTATTGCATATCTGTGTAACCTGAAGCGAAGAATTATGGAATTCAGGTCGTCCTGCATAGTAGGTTCAACCATCAATATGTCGTTGAGGAGAATTCCAGAGGATGTTTGACATGATGCATCAAAAACTACACGTAATTTAGTTGTTGTGCTCTCGGGTTTAATAACACAGTGATGAAGAATATAGTAGTGACATGATCGTCCACCTCCTTCATATGTCCCAGCCAAAGGTACTCTGCTATAAATTCGGTGTACATAACCTTAAGTGCCGGATTGGCATCTAGACGTCTTTCCGAGTCAAGGAACCTCCTTAGAGCTGCCGTACGAGAGTCTCCTAGTTGCTCGATTAGCTGCTTCTTCTTGGGCAAAGTTACAATAAACCTTCCGGTGGTATCCCGACCGGTGGTCCGATCAAATACGTTTTCACAAGCCAATTGTTCTAGTGAATATGTTCTTCTGTTGTGACATTCCTCCAATTCCCAAAAATACGTTCCATGGATAGATTGGCTACTGCTGGTCGAGGTAGACCAGGATCTTCGGACATCCTTCCACAAATAATCCACCCCAACGATGTGTTCCGCATAGCTGGACCATCCTTACTAAGTTTAATGCTCTCCGTCGATAACAACTCAAAGAATAGACTGGAACGTTGGGTCCTGCAAGTACGATGTCATTGGGAAGGTTCAAGCTACTAGTGTTGATTTTTGTTGCTGGCAGATTCAGTGTTACTTGCGGCAACACATAGAAAGTCTCTTCCTGTACGGAGTGTGAAACTCGAGAGTGAATTCGAGCGATAATAGACTGCTTACATTTCTACGTTGCCTGGCCGATGCCACTTGTTGACAACATTTCTCGTGATCTCTTAAATTTAAGCTTCAGAGCTCGCGCGAGAGTTAAGTTTCCGCATTTGTCCTCAAGAATCACGATCTCAGTTGCTAGCTACACGGAACGTGATGCCTTGGGTTCGTTAGAAGAAAGTACAACACTGAGACTAGCTAGGTTGTCTGTTCGAGGGATGAAAGGTTTGCTGAGGAGTATGAGTATTTGGATCTTTAGGTTCTAATTCTGAGGATGTTGACAGCGGTGCTTGTAAGTTTGGTGGGTTCTGCGGTCGCTTGTTCGATTACGGGTCATCAATCTGGGGAATTTGTTTGGACTCGCGTGCAGTAAGGAATGATGACGCTGACCGCAGAGCTTACAGGAACTTCTCGTACAGGATTTGGACATGTGCCCTCGCGAAAGGCAGTTAAAACACAACCGCTTTGTTGCGACAACATTTCTCCGTTCATCTACCTTCATAATCTTGAACTTCTTGTTCTGGAAGACTGGGTGTTGAGATTCTCCACAGGAAGGGCAACTGCTTAAGTTACTCTGAAAACCAGCGTGACTAGTGAATGGCCTTCAACTTCGTATCGGAAGGAAGAGTGATCCTTCCAGATACCGATTGTAGCACCATACAATGGTTTTTGAGGAAATCCATCAACCTTTTGTATTCAGCAACGTCTTTCGATCGATGT